GAAAAAAAAATTCGTCTTTTCGACTGTCTTTCTGCTACTACATGGCAGGCTTATATAAAACTCTCGGAGACTTGGTATAGTGCACAAAAATATCGAAAAACATTTTTTCACTTTTTTTGTGCATTATACCGAGTCTCCGAGAGTTTCATACAAGCTTGCCATGTAAAACCAAAAAGACAGTCGAAAACACGAAAAAATTATTCACTTTTTTTTGAAACGAATACCTATTTGGTACGTTTTGGTACGTTTTGATACGTTTCGGTACTTTTCGGTACTCTTCAATACTTCTGAGTATATTTAGTATTTCAGTACCGGTTTTCCCCTTGGTGTTATTTAATGTATGCTTAAACACTCAAAAATATGTATTGGGGGTGTATTTGGGTACGAAAAAGCCGAATATGACGTTAGTTTTGCGATACAAATAATTTTCGACACACTTTTCTTACAAAAATTTCAAAAAAATTGAGATTTTTTTTTAATCTCGACAAATTTTCACATAATTAAGATGTCATATAGGAAAGTAGTCATTAAATTGATGATCCCCTTAAGCGCTTTGAATACTTAAACAACTCAAAATTAGTTATTTTGTCAACTTTTAATGCAAGAACAGAAGAACTACGTACTAAATATTGATATATAAACACATTGAAAAACGTAAATTGTTATTTTGTTTCAATTGTTATTATAATAACTGCGTAAAAAAAAACTCTTACATTCAATCGCATTCAATTAAACAAGTTTACATTCAGTGTCATAGTCTCCAGTTGGGAGAATGTCATTATATGCTTTATAAAATTCATTTAGCGGACACATCGTACCGCACCGAAGTTTAAGAGGTTGAAGTGGGCGTTTGTCAGCGCCACGTTCCTTTTTGTAATAGATTTCTATGTGGTAATTCTCTCCAGTCTTATGAAGCTCGAAAAACACACAGCTGCTATATGGTGGAATGTGAGGCTAGAGAAGAAAATTACATGATTTCACACACACACACACACACACACACACAAATCTAAGTACATGTGAGTTACTTACATCATCGAAAACGCCAAGTCCGCCTAAAATGTTTGCTATCGTGATATCATGTGCACTATATAGATGCAATGATCGGTCTGGATCTAGAGTTCCATTCGCTTTCTTGCTAAAGCGTTCCAAAATCTCCTTAAAAAGGAAACCTGGTCTAATCCTTGCCATTTCTGTTGTGCTTCCATAAAAGCTGTGCTTATAATTTGTTATATTTTCCATAAGTGATCCCTTTGTTATCAAATCTTCAGCCCACTCGGGGAACCTAAGCAATTTTCAAGTTTCATTAGAATTGATTGTAATAAATGAAATCGTTGCACAACTCATGGTTCCAATTTTTTCAATTTTTGAACTGTCAGTATTTGATAAAGTGTATTGACATCATCAATTTTTATGATTGGTTTGCCAGAAAGATCTGTTAGATTCTTAAAGTATTCCGCATGATCTGCGACCACTGCTTTCACTTCATCGGAATGATCGATTCTATGTCGAGCTGCCTTATATCTGGGACACGGTCTTTTTGTGGCCAAAACAAAATCATCGATTTCTGGAATGGTATGAATTGGTATTGCGTGCCATACTTGACCGAGTTTTTTATTCCAAATCTGTTTTTTGGTTGGCGGGAACATACCTGATTTTAACGAATTAAGCAACATTTTTTATATTTGTGTAGTGAATACATTCGGTGGAAACGTACCGGCTAAAATATGAGCTGCTGATATCAAAGTTCGATCAACATCAGTACTTCGAACATAAATTTTATCTCTGTGATAACCATTCCCAATGAATTTTTTGTATCTTTTCGCAAGATAAAGTCCCACTTCATATTGCTGTTGTCTACCTTCCTACAGTAATAGATTTCAAAAATAGATTACGATCATTTTCATGATACATGTGTTCAGTATTTGAATATTTTACGTTGGTAAGTGCACTAAAAAGACAAAAACAAAATAAAAAACAATAAATACAAGTAATCGTAAATGAATTTCTTTTTTAAGTAACACTTCAGCTTACCCGTAGCCGTCCGGCCAATATTTTGTTTCGTTTGAAAACGGATCTGTGGAGCCGAAAGGATAAAGGACATTGCGATCACCATGTCGCACAACCTGTAGATGTAGATCGATTTTTAAATGGGAAAAAAAATTATTTTAAAGAATAAAAGCTTTTACTTACAATATGGGCAAAAACCAATTCGCTACCTATATCAAATTATTACAAACAAATTAGTATATGTTAGTATATCTTAATTTTGTCACTTTGATAAAAAAAAAACTACTAATTGATTAGTATGTCATACCTATTAATCCGCTTGCACCACATTGGTTTACCTATTGTCAAAAAGAAAAACGTGTTTTATATAATACAATAATGCAATATGCAAAAAAAAAAATTACGAAGCACATCACGGCAAATAAAAGTAGAGACTTCATTTCAACATATATTATTTTAATTGTTGAATAATTCATACTAAGAATATTCAGATTAATTACATCTTCCCAATTCCCGTCCTTTTATTCATTTTTTTTGGAGTATCGTCAAATTGAATCAACTGTGCAAATAAAGTGTTCGTTTGTTTAATGAAAAAACAAATATATTTTACTGCGTTAAATTGTGTAGGTGTATACTATCATTTACTTAATGTATTGACGTAATTTTCGATAGAGTTGTATGAACAGATGTTTCGTATGACTTGAGTTTTCCGCAAATTTAACGATTTGCCTTGAAAACAAAAGTAACTTATTTATTTATTTCGTTATACACTAAATTCCTTGAAAAATATGTGCGAAAAATAACAAGTCAATTTTTTCATCGAATATATCGATTGTATCTGAGGTGATATTGGTCTCCAGCTTGGTTTAACATTTATTCTGTATAATTTCAGGACGTTCTTTTATACTAAATAGCATAGACTCACACCCAATCCATTATTTGAACGCTCTAGAATAAGAACAACGTATTGAATGGTTGTTATACCAAAGGGGAACACAGCGTTTTTTTAACATAGATTTGCTGTTGTAATACAACAACAATTCTATATAAAAAAAACGCCGTGTTCCGCTTTGATATAACAACCATTCTGTACGTTGTTTTTATTCTGGAGCGTTCATTTAATCGTATATTTAAGCGGCGCTACCGATTTTTTTCCACAATGAACACTGACTCTATTCAAACACATCCCTTCACATTGAATACGTTTCTTTAAAATGAAAATTGAAAAAAAAAATTAACCCCTTTGCCGCTTTGAAAAACGACCGCTCTTTCAACTGCAACATTGAAACAACTATTTTAATGTTCTATTTGGGATTTAAGTTAATAAAATCATCGTTAATCCTTTGGAATTTAAAATAAATAGATTAATCACAACAAACCAAAAATAGCAATTGAATTTGATCGAGTAACTTTGAATAAAAAAATATTCAATGAGGAAATAAAATTGTTTTGCGGTTGTTGATTTTATAAATTGGAGAGAAATTTAGACTGATTTTAGAAAATTGGATCAAATTGCATTTTTTTTTTTTTGATTATAATTTACATTTTTTGTTTCACCAGATTCGACTCATACCTTGAAGATATTACCGTCTGTATTTCAATTGAAGCTTCAATGGTTTGTTCAAAGTAAACTAGATGGCATTCATCTTTCAGTGAAATGCTTTGAAGCTATAAGGTTCAGTGGTGACCTCTCTTATAAATCTTTCGTAAATGAAAAAAAAGAAAAAAAAATGAAGTGAAAAAACAAAGAAGTCATTTAAATTTGAAAAGAAAAATTGTATTTAAACCAGAAATAAATGTTACAAAATGATTGTTTCTTCTTGAGAAACAAAAGTGTATATAATTAATCCTTCATGGATATTCACAAATTGATGAACACATCGTTTTGATGTTATGTGTTTATGTCAACATACAATTTTAACCATTTTTTTTTCAACTTATTGTTAAACTAATCTCATCTGTTTAAGACATATCGATAGGAGACTAAATAATATATTGAACATTTATATGACTAAATGACACAACCATTACTGAGAGCAAAAAATGTATACAATAAAAAATAGAAAAATTCACTATCTAGAGTGTTTTATGGGTGGTGTTGTCTCTCAATAATATTTTAAATGTAACAAAATGAATGTTTCTTCCTCAGAAACAAAAGCATATATAATTCATTTATCCTTCATGGATAATTCACAAATTGATGAACACATCGTTTTGATGTTGTTTGTTTATGTCAACGTACAATTTTAACCATTTTTTTTCAACTTATTGTTAAATTAATCTCATCCCTTTGAGACATATAGATCGGAGAATAAATAATATATTGAACAATTTTATGACTGAATGACACAGCCATTATTGAGAGCAACAAATATATGTAATGAAAAACAAAAAAAATTCACTATGTTGAGTATTTTGTGGGTGGTGTTGTCTGTCCGAATTTTGCAGTTTCACTCTAAAGTGAATGTTCAGGTTCAACGATCAATACAAAGTCATCTCCCTTGGAAATGTGTTCGATTTTTCCGTCTGCCGAATTCTCCAATTGAACCAGTTTCTTCTTTTTGAGATCTGATGGCAAAACGAAATCCATCATTGTAACCGAATATGCAAAAAAAAATCAGTATTATAAACAATGAAACTTACTTAGTAGTGATGCGAATGTTTTTGCCGCCTGGAAACGGTTGCATTTTTTGGCCAACAAATCATCGACTTTGATGGGATGGATGCCTTTTTGCCACAATTTTATGAGTTTTTGCATCATTGTGTATTCCAATGAATTTTCACCAAGCAAAACCAACAAATCACTGCATTCGATTAATGGTGAACTGTTTTGTGCAACATCAATTTCTGGCACATTGTGATCGTCCAAATGTGGAATTGATGATTGCGGTTGTTTGTTTGACTCATGATTTTGGCTGTCATTTTTGAAGCCAGGCGGAGCCAAAGCAGCGATGTCCATGAATGGAGACGGTGGTTCAAAGAGATCAGTATAGGAATCAATCGGTGATATGTCATTTGGAACAACATTATTGGGATGAGATGCATGAAAACTGTGCACCGATTTTTGCGATGGATTAATTGGTGTCGATGATAGTACCGGATTCAACATTGGTCCATTGAATGACATTGACATTCGTGATTGGCTTCGAGTGCGGCGCGAAATATTGCCATTTTCATTTTGCAAAATATCGATTTCTTCCGATAATTTCGTTCCGTTATCATCCCGAATACCAGAATCAAAGGCATCTTGTATCGTTGTCCAATCGACTTCGATGACCAGTCGAGTTTTTGCACTGCGTGCGAACAATTTTTGATTAGGCGTACCACGAATAGCGGGAGCCGTAAACATATCGTTCAGCTTCAGTTTCTGTAGTTTTTCTTTGGTGAACAGATCGGATTTTCGAGCCTTGCAACTGGCTGTTGTGCTATATATAAACAACGTTATGTTAGATATGTTTTGTAATTCATTCAGAAAAAAAAATATTCTCAACAAAACTCACTTCGAAATACGTTTTTTCATCACATCGCCGGCGATGATTTTTTCGTCGTCTTCGTCTTTGAAAATGGTCACTTTTCGACACTTTCCTTTCTTTGCTAATGCTGCAATATTTGGTGGTGCAAACGGTGTTGATTTCAATACACTCAATGGATTTTCAGTGCGTCGTCGATCATTCACAGTTAGTTTTTGGACTGGACTTTGCGGTGCTGATAAGTTTGACGATGCCGGTGAATTTGGCAGTACTAGTGATTTCGGTGATTTTCCTAGTGCAGCAAGAGTGGAAATTGTGTCTTCAAATGCTGACTGTATAGTTATATCATTCATGTTTTCATCAAATGAACGACATGTGACAATCATATTCGCGCCAAAACTACCATCATCAAATGGTTCCAAATGCGAATCAAAAATAACATCACCCGATCCATCAAACTAAATTGAATAAAAGATACAATTCAATTCATTGTTCAAACATTCTTTTCACTTGAAGAAAGCATCGATTGTAAAAAAAGAAAATAAAAATTCAAAATACCCCAATCGAATCATGAATGTCAATAAGACCCGACGACACTGTTGGTGGTTCGATTTCACGCAGTGTGATCTTATCAATCGAAACTAAAGTCAAATCTGGTTGTGTCAATTCTTCGCTGTCCAATTCTAACGGTTCTTCCCACAATCGATTCCAGTCAACATTGGTTGTTTCTTTTGCAACAATGGTTATCCGTTGTTTCTTTGCCTTTTGGGATTCGACAAGTAAACTGAAAATGGAATTTTATACGAGCATTGAATTACACTGTTTTGGGTAAGACGAAAAAACAAAACCAAATAAAATGCCAATCATAATGCTTACGTTTTGCGTTTCGATTTTACCATAACCAAATTACTTCCCAATTGTTGATTGAGCTTGAGACTTTCCTCTGTTTAGTGAATAATTTATGAAAGAAAATCAAGTTAATCGAACGAAGCTATGAACAATAAAAAAATTACCAAAACAGTTTTGCACACAAATGTCCAAATACGATGTGAGGCCCAGAAGCAATCGACTGATCAATGTCCACGCGATACGACGAGAATATGTCTTCGGATTGACTGTATTGATTGTGGCTATTTTTGCACTGTTCAAACGATAAAATTGTAACTCTTTCGGATAAAAACAATCAACAAATATTTACCAAATGTCATCAAAATCTCGTAGACTGACCACACCATCTCCATCGATTGCACGAGTATCGGCGATGTGCAATAATTCCATCAATGCGTCTTCATCACTTACAATTTCTCGGAAACTCTTTGCCATTTTTAACACACAACAGAAATATGTAGATATTATACCAAATTAAACCATCCAAACTCGTGTCTTCCGAAATAGTATGCAAACAATACTGCGTTGCGGTCGCACAGTGTGCGTTTTCGATGTGACGCATTTGAATAAAATGCAAAACACCACCACAATGGAATAAAAAAAATTGTGTCCGTGTCCGTGTACAAATGCGGTCGTCATCAATACATATGCCAACGATAACGACACCACCGCAATGGAATAAACATAAATTCGCAGCAATGGAACGACAGTAACACCAAAAATAAAAATGTCCGTTAAAATGAAATTTATAAAAAATTTGATAATGTTTTTAAAACAATAATTTAATTATTTTCTTATTGTTTAGCTTAAACTGAATTTACATATACAATTATTATCATCATCATTGTTGAGGGTTTCAAATTGAGATATGCGTAACAAAGTTGAACGAATTATTTTGCGCATCATCTCTAGCCATACATTCATTACATATAAAATATCGATCAAAAATAATATCAATCAAGAGTGAACGATTTCTATAGTAATTTCAATTTCAAAATTTCAAAGAGTATATTGTTTTTGTTTCGTTTTCATTCGGTGATATTCTTGTCACAAATTAGATCTTATAATATTTTAAAGCAAATATAAATTTATATATGGCTCATTTACAAATTAGCTAAAAAAAATTCAATACTTAATTAGCTACACGGTTTTTGTTTACATTCGTTTCATTTTCGTTTTTATTCTCTATTCGTTTGATAGGTTCTTTCTTTCGTGTCTTTTAAAAAATTCAATAGATAAACTATTTTTAGCCTATGAATTGAGTTAAATCTGGTAAACTAAAACTAGTTGTTTGCCAAGTTGCAAGTGGACGTGAACGTGTGATTCGCGTTGATGGTGGCACACTCAAACCGGCAATATTGCTTGATTGTGTACATTGGAGAACTAAACCGCATTGGGCGCTGCAAATATCATCCGCTAAAATTGCATCTTTTGACCATTCACGGGCCAATTGAGCACAATCGGTGATACGAAGTGATGCACATTGTGCCTATGGAAATAGAAAAAATAACATTTTTTTTTTTTTAAATTGTAAATTGAATTTTTAAACAAAGATTTCAAATGAAGGGAATTTCTAACGCCTTCGTTTGTACAAATGCAGCTTGTACAAGGGGATGGGAATGCAGATTGACCGACGGCTACTTGACGGCCACCAATTTGACAGCCTGAAACTGTGTTTCCTCTCCAGGCATTAAAGTCGATTTGTGGCATTGTATGACATGGAACTCGTGGATTTCTATAAACAAAACAAAAATTAAATTCAATTATTTTGTTCAATCAAAGATCTGAGAAAATTGAATGTGAATTCAATTCACTTCGACTTACAAGAAATTGATTGGTAAATCGAAAGCAGCCCGTTACATATCGCCTGGATTATCCATGTTATCGCAAATAATGTTCGATAATGTAGTTTTTCTGACTTCGTTCAATTGGGCTTCGATGAATTTGAGATTTGGATCATCTGTTTCGTACAAAAATCGATCACATTTTCTCAATTGTCGGAATTGAACACCAATGATGCATACAAATGTTGGACCCACCAATCCACCTTGCAAAGGTCTGTAAAAAATATATTAATTGGAATAAGTTTCTGATTGCTTTTCAACACCATTAACAGGACAAGTAATTTTCAAATTATGTGGATCTGGTAAAATGCTCTTATGCACAATAGCGGGTCCTAATGGACAAAAAGATTTTATAAAAATAAAGTGTCTTAGAACAAGAATTTGAAATGAAAGTGTTATAATCGTCCAAGCAAATTTTATTCAAACCGATATTTCAAACGTATAAAATTAAGCTCTTTTGCGTCAGGAGTTGAGGCTTTCAAAAATAAAGGTTTTAAATTCTATACAGTTTTCATGATGATAAAGTAAGACTATGATCATTCATTTAATCATTGTTGAATTCTTCATGGAGTACTCCTAATTTAGTTTGCATTCAATATCATAATCCCGAGTGGGAATAATATCACTGTACAATCTATAAAATTCGTCCAATGGGCACTTTGTACCACAAAGAAGTTTAAGAGGTTGAAGTGGTTTTTTATCTCTTCCCTGTTCACTCTTGTAATAGATTTCGATGTGATATTTTCCTTTATTGCGATGAAGTTCAAAAAATACACATGCTGAATAGGGTGGGCTGTGTGGCTGAAACAGAAAAAAAAACATTAAAACATAATCCCGAAAAAACGCAATATTTGCAATCAACCTCACCTCCCAAATTTTACTGTATAAATTAAGTGCATTCAAAACGTGTGCAATGGTCGTATCGTGGGCACTGTATATATACATTGAACGATCTGGATCCAATGTCTTATTTGCCTTTTTACTGAAGCGTTCCAGGATTTCTTTGAGCAGGTAACCAGGTCTCATTTTGGCCATCTCTTTGGTTTTTGCATAGAAACCAAATTTACGATTAATTAATTTTTCCATGGCAGATCCCTTGTACACCAAATTTTTTGCCCATTGCGAAATACTTAAAGTAAATATTCATTATTATCTATGAAGAAAATGGCACAAAATACTTGAACATACTTCAATCCTTTCGATTTTTCTATCTCAAGTGTCTGATAAAGAAGATGAATTTGACTCATTTTTGTGATTGGATTCCCCGTAAATTTGGTCAATTCTTTAAAAAGTCCAGCATGCTCTCTGTCAACTGCTTCTACTTCGGGTGTATCAAAGATTGCTTTATAAGATGTTTTATACTTGGGACACGGTCTTATCGTATATAAAACATAATCGTCGACCTCCGGCACAGTGTGAATTGGTATTGCTTGCCATTTGCGACCGAGGTCTTTATTCCAAGCCTGTTTTCCGAGTGGCGGAAACATGCCTAATGCCAATAAATCAAGACATCGTTATGTCATATATATAGTGGAAACGTAATATTCGTTGGAAACCTACCAGCTAATGTATGAGCTGCCGACATCAAGGTTCGATCTACATCTGTACTTCGTACATAAATGTTATTTTTGTGATAACCATTTTCTCCAATTAGGTTTTTATATCTTTTCGCAAGATATTCGCCCAATTCATATTGCTGTCTTCTACCTTCCTACAGAAATATTTTTTTAACATTACTTTCGACTAAAGAAATTTCATCGCTTGAATGTCTTACGGATGTTAATTGACCGTAACCTTCAGGCCAATATGTCTTGACGTCAGCAAAAGGATCATTTGGACCATATGGCGTAAGGATGTTCCGCTCACCTTAATTTTATAAGAATAAGACTCAATATGTATAAAATCAAAATGACTTAAAAAAAAGAGGCCAAAAAGATTCAGTTACCATGTCTAAAGAGAATGTGCGTGAATACCAATCCGTCACCTATTATTTAAACCCATTAAGATAATAGAAATGCTTTAAATTCTGAATTTAACTGATTTCAATCTTAATTAATTAAATGGTTGAATATTTTGTGTAATATTATTAAAGGGGGTCCATACCTGGGTCGCTTGCACATTGGTACAACTATTTTCAGAGAGAATTTAATATTTTTTATTGAATTTTTTTAAAATAATAATTGCGAAAAATTGAGAACTACTTACGAAGCACACAACAGCAAACAAAGATAATAATTTCATTTCAATATCTTCTTTTTATTCTGTACTTTAATTTTGAATTAATATTATCGTTGCAAAGAAACAAGATAGAATTATTCATTTCTCCAACTTTACTTCTTTTTATACATTTAATTTTGCAAACGTCTCTGAGTTTAACCATCTGTTCAAATAAACTTTAGACTTATTTTTAAACGAAAAAAAAATAATTCATGTTTGTGCATAATTTTTTTTTTTCTTAATAGGTAAATTAAAAGATAAAATGTTTTAAAATTTACACTCAAGCGCATTTTGCTTAGATGGGACCTGTTAAGGTATTAAATCAGTAGTGTGTCAAGGGGGGCTACCCCCCCTGTGATTTGGACTAGACATTTTTTTCACGAAAATTATTCAAATTTGCTAGGGTTTTTGATTCAAAAAGTGAAGACACTTCTTTTAGCTCATCAATGTAAAAAATTGAGTAGAATTCTTTCAATTTGCTAGGGTATTTAGATCCGAGATAACTTTTTCCGATTTTCTAGGGTTTTTCACGGAGAAAATTCCATCGATTTGCTAGGGATTTTCGTCAAAAAAGTGAAGGGCAAAAAAAAAACGAAAATTTGTCCGGTTTTGGAAAAATCAACCTCCTCCCCCTGAAAAATTTTCCTCGCACTACTGTATTAAATAAACATTAATCATAATATTCTTCAAAGAATAGAATAATTTTTCGAAATTATTTTAAAGCAATTAAAGGTTTTCAACCTACAAAAAGCGATGAAACGAGAATTGGGCCCATTTTTAGACAATTTTGTTTCTTTTCGTATACATTTCATATTGTTTTGAAATATCTGGATAAAACGTGTTAAATATGGTAAGATGTGAAGTACATTCACTAGAGAATAAAACGAAAACAACTCAATATGCACGATAACTAAAAAAACACTTGTTTTTTTCCAATTGAAAATTCAAATTCATTTTCTTACAATTGGTTCTCTGTCAAAGTTTTTTGTATACATGGCAAAACAATACATTCAAATAGCCGAGACGGGAGAAAAACCGTCACACTTTTGTTGTAGCGACATATATTTTTATTTCATTCATAGAAAGCACAATATTTGTCTGCTAAAGCTTGCATTCAGTGTCATAATAGTTCAGAGATAGTAGAAGTTTCAGAGATTGAAGTGGCTTTTTGTCAATCCCATGCTTCTTTTTGTAATCCAAGTCCGCCTAAAATGTTTGCTATCCTGATATCATGCGCACTGTGTAGCCTTCATTTTTAGAGTACATAAAATTATTATGCATAGAGGAAGTAAACATTTGACATAACCTATTTTGAAATTAGCATACCATAATGTTCGGTCTGGATCTAGAGTTCCGTTCGCTTTCTTGCTAAATCGTTCTAAATTTCGTTCGTTAGACGTTTAAAGAATTCCGCATGCTCTTTGACAACTGCTTTCACTTGGGATGAATGGTCAACAGCCTTTCGAGCTGCCTTATACCGTGGACACGGTCTATTTGTGGAAAAAATAAAATCATCGATCTCTGGTACGGTGTGGATTGGTATTGTATGCCATTTGTGACCGAGGTCTTTGCTCCAAATCTGTTTCCCGACTGGCGGTAGCATACCTGTTGTTAATGAATTAACCAACACGTTTATCGTTAGTTGCTGTTCATTTTCACATCGCCTGTGATGGATAAATTACGTTCGGTGGAAAGGTACCGGCTAAAATGTGAGCTGCTGACATCAAAGTTCGATCAACGTCAGTGTTCCACACATAAATATTATCTCTGTGATAACCATTTTTTTCAATAAGGTTCCTATATCTTTTCGCAAGGTATTCGCCCATTTCATGTTCCTGTCTTCTTCCCTGCTATTTTTTTTTTAAATTCAATTGATAAAAATGAAATAAAAATGTGACATGATAATACTGTTCATTTTTTGGATATTACGTTGGTAAGAGAACTAGAAAGAACCAAAGTAAAAAAACATAAATTAAAAACAAAAGAATTTTAAAAACATCCAATTCCAATTACCCGCCTTCTGTCCAGTATTTATCAACATCTGCGAACGGATCTTCCGGACCGAATGGCTCTAATACATTACGATGACCATGTCGAAATAGCTGAAAGGGTTTTTTATTGCTTTTAATACCGAAAACTATCGTCAGAAGAACGGGGAAACTTACAACATGTGCAAATACCAGTGTACTAACTGGATTTCCAAAATGAATCCAAAAGAAGAAACAAAACAGTTTTTAAAGTTAATTAAACCAAACCCAAATCTAATCACAATTAGTTAAAAAATTGTGTAATATTCATACAGATATACCACATGGAATTACATACCACTGAGTTGACTTGTAAATTTAACCTTTTTGCACGAATTTTTTTTGAATTTTTTGAACGAATGATTCAATAAAAATCAAAATACTTACCAAACAGGTAACAACGAAAACAAATGGAATAATCATCTTAACAGAAATGCAGTTATATCTCGATAGATTCATTCTTTCGCAAATAACAACTCTTACTCTGTGTTTTTCTTTCCTTTTGTTCAATTTATTACATGAGCTATTGCCGATTTGAAATGAAACATCTGCTTGAATGGACATGTAGGTTTATTTCGATATATTCTCTGTGCGTAATTTAAAAAAAAATGTCTTGAGTCGAAGATAATAATGCAACGTTGAAGTTGCTCGTTACCCTATTTTGTTTACAATTTATTCTGGCACCAGCATCTCTTTAAATAGTATGATAATATTTTCAAATTAAAAACAAGTCAATAAATTATCAATATAACAGGAGTCAGACTACAGAGAAGAACCAAATTTTGAATTGCGAAGAAAAGAAATTAACTTTATTTTAACTTTAATTACCAATGCGAAGTTAAATATTTTTCACTCTCAACCAGTACAGTTATATAGTTGATGTTTTTAATCAAGAGAGATTAAATTAGATTGATTAGATTAGATTTATTGACAATTTGCTGTCTACAAGTCTTACAATATTGAAACTATCACAATTTTCTGATCGTAATTTTAGAGTTATTTAGTTTTGTTATAGGTTTGTTTGTTGTTTTATGCTTGATTAAGTGTTGGTGTTGGTATATTATATGTATAGTCATTTCCAAAAAGATCTGTGTTGTCAAACTAATACAATGAATTTCGGAACGCATTTCCATTCAAAAGTACACAAGGCTTCTTAGTTAAACGTGTCAATTTGGTTTGAATTTTGTTGAGGGTATGTTGTTTGTTCAAAATTTTGACAGTTCGCTGTAACAGATCTTATTGAAAACGACTATACATACATATTTATCACAGGATTTAGTTTTTTATAACATTATCACATTTCTAAATCTATTCTTATTTCTTATAATATTAACAGTAATATGGTCAAATATATCTTTAAAGGCTTCAACAGCTATTCTCAGAGGATCCCTCTATTGGATATTATTTGAAATTTTTCCTCTTATGTGTAAGGGTCCGTTATTTTTAAAACCTTAATCGTCTGGTTTGTGTTCTAGTTATGTTTCTAAAAGAGAGGGAGAGAGAGAGAGAGAGAGAGAGAGAGAGAGATGTTGAGAATGTCTGCAGTTACACGTATTTTACAAAAAAAAAACAGTTTTTAAACTAAAAACAGAGAGGTCTGAATAAATTTAAATCATTTTTATTGATTGAACATAAAAATGTGTTTCGTCATTAGTTAAAAACCATGCAAAAAAGAAACTATTTCATTTATTACAATTATTGTGTGGATGTTTTTTTCAAATTGATGTCACTTCAGTCAAAATAACATTAGATGATAATTGTACTTCGTTCATGAATGAATGAAATAGCTGAAGGTGGCTTTATAAACTTTAATTATGACATTCTTCGTCAAAGCTCTTGGTTGGGATAATGTCGTTGTATTTGTCATAGAATTCGTTTAGTGGGCACTTTGGTCCGCAACGAAGTCTAAGAGGTTGAAGTGGGCGTTTGTCAACGCCACGGTCCCTTTTGTAATAGACTTCAATATGGTATTTTCCTTTATTCCGATGAAGTTCGAAAAACACACACGAAGAATAGGGTGGAATGTGAGCTTGTAAGTTATTTTTCGGCTGAGACAGAAAATAAAATGAAAATTAATAACTGTATGAATTAAAATCTATAAATAGAAGGTTACTCACGTCATTGTATACACCAAGTCCACCCAAAATGTTTGCAATCGTAACATCATGAGCTGAGTAAAGCCAAAGTGATCGATCTGGTGTTAAGCTTCCACTTGCTTTTTGGCTAAAACGTTCCAAAATTTCTTTAAGCAGAAAACCTGGTCGGATTCTTGCCATTTTTGGTGTCTTTCCATAGAATTCAAAATCTTTGAAGGCAATTTTTTCAAAATTGGTTCCTTCCTTCACCAACTCTTCGGCCCAACTTGGAAACCTAATCGATGTGAAATATCGAATTGAATAAGAAATATATTTTGATTCAAAATGTCGTTGAACTCACCCTTCAAAACCTCTCATTTTTTCAATTTTAAGCGTCTGATAAAGCACATTAACATGACCAATTTTTTTAATCGGTCTGCCAGCCAGATTTTCCCATTTCTCAAACAATGCAGCGTTATCACTGACTATATTTTTCATTTCGGGTGAATTGGCGACTTCTGTGTGCCCATCCAACCACTGTTTGCATGGTTTTTTTGTGGCCAAAACAAAGTCTTCGATTTCAGGAATTGTATTTACCTGTGAAGTCCATTTGGATTCGAGGTTTGGATTCCATTTCTCTTTTGAGGATGATGGGAACATGCCTGTTGTAAAAGAAGAAAGAAATTGAGGTTAATTTATTCGAATAAATTGTGCTTGATTGGAACATACCAGCCAGTGTATTATAAGCGCTTAACATTGCACGTGTGATGTTAGTACTTCGGCAGTAAACTTTGCTATCTGAATACTTATTCCCAATAAGCTTTCTATATCTTTTTGCAAGGTATTGTCCCAGTTCATATTGTTGCTGTCTTCCCAACTGAGTGAATATATTTCAAATTAATTCGCTATCAATGATATCATTGTTTGAATGTCTTACGTCGGTGAGTTGTTGAAATCCACCCGGCCAGTACTTTATCTCATTTGAAAACGGATCATTTTTTCCAAAGGGTGTGTAAATATTACGATCACCTGAATGAGAAGAGATCTTTTTCAATCTTGTTCTACAGATAAAATTAAAATTCGCTGTAAAACATGTCGGAAAGGGATTAGTTTTTACCATGTCTGAAGACCACGTGTGCGAATATCAAACCGTCACCTTAAAAAAAAAAGAAAAATAATTGATTTAAAGCAAAACTTAAAAATGTTGGGGAAAAAAACTAATAATCGTTTGTTTTCTGTTGAACTTACCTGGAGCTCCTGCACATTGGTGCACCTATATTTTGAGGAGACAATGTATGTGTGAATTTTGAATGAACAGAGACTTAAAAACGAACTACTTACAAGACACACGGCGAAGAATAGTAACAAACACTTCATTTTTGATGAAAATATCAATATTTTCTTTCTATTTTTCGATCGATTCAATCGTAGAAAACATAGAATTATCGATCCTCTTGAATTTCACCGCTTTTTATACATGTTATTTTGCTAGAGTATTTCGAAATGGAACACCTGTACAAATGATAATTGTATTGCGACTGTTTGTTTTAAATGGAATTTAATAAATTTGGAATGAAAATAGTCAACGAGTTATCGAAGAAAACATTATAATATAAGACTCAATTGTAAATTACTTTTATGGTTTAAGAAAATTTCCATTTCGAAAAACAGTGGTAATTTGCCCTCAAAATGCTTTCAAAATATATTTGGTGACGTTTTGGAACATTTTTTTCAACATTTCAGCCACATTTAACATACTAAACAACTTCATCTATAAAGCAATATAATTTGGATACACACTTAAATTCATATTTTATATGAAAGTACACGTGGAAAAAAATAATATAAAATTCTGCTTGCGTGTAAATAAGCATGTTTTTATCGTAAAAATGTGAATTATTGTAATCCCACCAATATTGTTTATTCAAGAACGGTGGGTGCTTTATTTGGTAACTATGAATAAGCTCAAATGTTTTCTAGAATAAAATATTTCTAGAAAGATGTATCATTCTTCCAAGAAGTCATTTTTATTTCAATTCACTTCGATACACTTCTAATTACAAATATGCTGAGTCTTTCCCAAAGTCGCTTGAATCATTACGAACGTTTCGTTTATTATCCCATTACAGAATTGATGGACTTATTTAATGACATCAAAAGATTAATAACGATTATTTCGGTTGAAATTTATCATTCTTAATTACTTATATTTTTTTACTTATAAAGTTTTCATTCTCTTGCTAACAACTCAATTATTGGGCTAGGTTAATGGTGGTCAATATGGCAATGACACATTTTCCAAATCTGCTTACAATTCATTTGAATATTTCCATAAGCAAGTTTGTGGCACAGATCTGAAAAGTTATTCCGACATTGACAATTTTTCGTGCTTTCAAAATAGCACATATGGGAAAACTATCAATTTACAACTAAAGCATGAATGGGGCTGCTGGACATTTTTGTAAAGAAGCTTCGAATTTATTCGATTTCATATAGTATAGCATTTTATTTTGTTTTTATATTTCGTTACAGATTTCATTTGCTTTACTTTATGGCAGGGATTGTTCCTCTGAGGAGGAGGAATGGTGAGGAGGAAAATGAGGAGGAGGAGGAGATCCTCCTCCTCAACTGAGGAGGAAAATGTTTTTAGCTAAAAATGATATTTTTGTGATAAAAATAGCCCTTTGAGCAAAAAAAACTTTTCCTCCTCAGTTGAGGAGGAGGATCCTCCTCGCTCTCCTCCTCCTCCTCATTTTCCTCCTCACCATTCCTCCTCCTCAGAGGAACAATCCCTGCTTTATGGTCTCATCGGTGCATGTTTGTGGATTTATCGTGCCATACGAGCACGGCTCTGGAAGAAGAACAAAATGAATTCAATAATTGTGACAGCATAAATTGACTGAGATGTCTTGAGCCACTTTTTCTGTTGATGTCGTTCGAGTTAAATAACTCTGGTAGAGTTACATGTGTGAATAATCATACTAAAAATGACCGAATGCCAAATAAATGAAAGATAATAGACCTCATTAAATTAATGAAACACATAAATAATTGAGTAGTTTCTGTAATCTTTTGGAATAAAATAAAAATTTGAGTGTCAAAATGGACATACATAAAAGTTCAAATTTTATTTCATTTTTCCTGTTATTATTCTATGAAGAAAAACTCTTTGTGTTTTGCTGAATAGTCTGATCAGTAGATGTAAAGCATCATTACATCATTATTTCCCTTCACTTCAATACCCTTCACATTTCAAAATGAATCAAAACTTCAATTTATTTCCCACAAAACTATGAGCTGTGCCTATTCTTTTCCAAAGCCGCATGAATCATTTGACGTACTTCTTCAACGCATTTCAGATTCATTTTATCGAAAAACGGTATGGTTTTGCTGACACGCTTCAACCACGCGATGATTTTTGCATGCTTTTCAGGCTTGAGTGGAGCGTATATTTCAAGTGGTAGTATTGTTATTGACGCACTAATATCGGCAATCGTCAAATTATTGCCCACCAAAAATGGATCGATTGCAAGAAATTCTTCCAGAATGTCATAGGCCGTATAAATTAAATCGATTTTTTCCTGCGGTACTTCTTTATGTCCTTGGAAAAATATCGGACGCGAACAGTCACGCAAACGTACAAACAGACTTGCAGCATCAAAAATCATCCGTTGATTGCATTTGGCTCTCAATTGCAAATCCTTTGGATATAATGCACAATCTTTTTCTTTGCCGTATTTATCCACTAAATATGCGCAAATGGCGTGACTCTCCCAAATGATGAAATCTCCATCGATCAAGGTGGGTACAACACGCTCGGGATTGATCTGTTTAACAAATAATTGAGTAAAATAAACATAGAAAAAGATGTTTTCCCCTTACCCTTGCGTATGGTTCCTTTAGATGTTCACCTTCCAATAAATTTATATTACTAAAATTTTGGTTTTTGAAAGAAAAATTAAGTTTTTTTTTGTTTATAGAACTTTATACAGTAGTCGATTTTTTTACCGAAGTTCAAGATCTAAACCAAGTAATTTTGCGACAGTCTTTACCGTTCGAACCGGTGGACTCAGATCTATATTGTACAAAATAAGTTTACCACTCATGTTTATATCAAAGAAGAATTTGAAAAGATTGTTACTCCGACTAATGCTGAACGTGAATTGATCTAATCATCATTTATGGGAGAGGTTTTTATTTCAAGCTCAATTCTACTCGTTCTATATGAATTATCATCAAATAAAATTACAGCTATATGGCATGATTATGGTAAATGATATATGACTTGAACATCCGTTGTATTTATAAAAACCAATCAATCATAGTTACTTGCGTCAAAGAAAAAAATTCGAATCAACCCAATATTGCATAATGTGCAAGTCGTGCATTGCTGGTCAATTATACAATTTGTAACAATTGAATTTACAATCGTCATCATTTCTAAATGAATCAAATGCAAAAATAGAAACTTTATTTCAACCGTTTATTCCGAATAAAATGTTTGATAAACGATATGGAGGTGTGCGTGATACAAGCCCACATTTCATTTTCAGGGTGAATTGTCAAGGACAATTTTAAATTGAAGTGTTGTTAACTGATGTCATTTTTACAAGTACTTTTTTGCAATACAAATAACGCGAAACAAGCTACAAACAGGGCTGTAATTTTCACTCTGTCAGTGCATGCAAACAGTTGTGTGCACACTCACATTCTATGTGCGTCGCACACAATGCTTGTATTTTGATTGTGCACGCACACTTAGTTACAAATTTGCCAACCGCCAAAAATGTCAAACTTGTGACTAAGTGTGCGTGCACATTCAAAATACAAGCATTGTGTGCGACGCACATAGAATGTGAGTGTGCACACTACTGTGTGTGTGCACTGAGAGAGTGAAAATTACAGCCCTGGCTACAAACAAGATAGCAAAATCTAAAATAAAATCCAAAGATTACTGAACTTTTAAGTTGTTTACTTATTATTAAATTATTTTTCATGATACCGAACTAAATTGAGTTCACCGAACTCATGCATGATGGCGCTGATCAGCGATGTTCGCATAAAAAAGTCTCCAAACTGACTGTTTGCTGACTCTTTGGGTGTAATACAAATTGGTCATTGAAATATCGATATTTTTCTATATGAAAAATGATTGATTTTCCATATACGTAGGCGACTATTTAAGTTTCTTCAATATGTATGTTTTAGTATTGCCCGATGCAAACCATTGTCATATTCGTGAAGTTGGACATTTTTCATGACCATTTGACTTAACAGGACGAATTTTAGTTTTGTGGTATGGCTACGACAGCAGCTTAAACATGACACTCCAAAAAGTGCACTTTTTTGAATATGCACCTAATTTCAAGTACGAAAAATATATTGTATCCAACTGATTTTGGTCTCTGGTGGACAGAGGGGTCCCGAATAATTCGTACACGGAGTATTGTGCATCAATTCGATCTTTTGGGTGGTCAAATAGTCGACTGTTTGATGGGCTTCTTTTTGCCATGTTTTGGGATTATAAGTTTCAGAGTTTTGGTCTCCATATTCCCGTGATGACTTTTGACAATCAAATGGTTGTGTACTATTCAGCATTGAAGGACCTTTCATCCTCTAAAGGCATGGTAGCAACATGACACATAACACTGTAAAATAATGAGGTCCGATTTTCCCTATCACTTCACAAACGAACAACTTTTGTTCGATTGTGTTCATGTTTGAAGACTCAGAGAGTCAACCAAGTTTTTGTTTCAGGTCCAAACTACTGGAATCATGTCTTGGCTTCTATTGCGATCGTATAGACGTGTTTTTATTATCCTATGTCAAATTGGTTATGATTTTTTGGATGTGATTAAAATCAATCGATTTTTGAGCAACTGTGGGTTGACACGTAAAGATTTATTTTTTTCATGTTGTAATTCATGGAAGAACCAAATGATTGGAGTCTCTGTGATCCTTGGGCATACCACAATTTAACTGTAAAAGAAACTTCGATCCTAACTCAATCGGCACCAGAGTTTTTCTCGATGACATCAATTTTCGAAGGACCATCGCGCAATTGATCACTGTAGCGAGCACCATGACGATGGGATTCAGTGAACCAGTTGTATACAGTGGCAAGGCATGGTACTTCCTTCCCATACCCCGACTTGAGTCGGAAGTAATACTGTTGAGCAGGCAGCTCTTTTTGAAAACTTATGAGAAATAATCTTTTTTGTAAATTTCATTTTTTTGCGAAGTTGACCTTTTCCAACTGACACCGTGGCCATACCACAAAACTAAAATTCGTCCTGTTAAGTCAAATGGTCATGAAAAATGTCCAACTTTACGAATATGACAATGGTTTGCATCGGGCAATACTAAAACATACATATTGAAGAAACTTAAATAGTCGCCCTCGTAAATCGGCTCCAAAAAAATTGTCCTTACGATCTCAGACCTTTTTAGAGATCTAAAAACGATTGTAAATTTGAAATTTTACAATATATTCAATAACACATTTAAATTGTATTAAAATCTAAATAGTTTTTCAGATCGTGAAATTAAAATACTGCCTATAAATTTTAATTTAAGTGTATGTATATATCGACAAACAAATTATTTAACCCTAAACTTCAAACTAAAATTAAACCATTTTTTTCATCAAACATCACTAAACCCCGATTTTTTTCGTGTTGTCGGCGTCTCTTCCTACTGAAAAATATAAAAAATGCATCTATTCACGCCATGGTTTTCGAAAAAATGGCCGGCAAAAAAAGATGGTCATTTCGTCTTTGGGGCACTCAGTGCCCGACGTATATTTTCATATATTTTGTATGGGAAAGTTGCTGAATTGTAAAAAATGTTTGTGCACGAATGAATCGATTGTTCTTACAAGCATATATACACTTGTTACGTTGTTCGGTGTTCCGTGTGACATTCAAATAAGAATAATAATTAATTATAAACAAATTCTGCCGAAATTGTGTTTTGCATTGAATTGCTTCGATTTACTTTTACATATACACAACAAACATGTCTCGTGTTCAATTCATTTTTTTATTCATTTATATGTGAATTTCCATACTCAGATAAATTTAACAGAGAAAACTTAAAGGCAAACAGTGTAAAATGCCATTTTGAAAATGAAACTGGTCGAATTCATTGGTACCGCAAAAATTTGTTCAGCCAATATTTATTTTATTTTGTCAGCACAGTATACAAAACGTAGCTTCCGATCTGCTGCGTACATTCATGTCTTTAGTTTACGAAATGACACAATATTTCTCAAAATATCGAGAAAATTCAAAATAAAAAATTGAAAAATTTCCATTTTTTCATACAAAATACACTAACGGACACTGAGTGCCCCCAAGACGAAGTGATACAATTTAGTAAAAATTTGTTCAGCCAATATTAATTTATTTTGTCAGCACAGTATACAAAACGTAGCTGCCGACCCGATGCGCACATTCATGTCTTTAGTTTACGATTAGACACAAGATTTCTCGAAATATCGAAAAAATTCCAAAACGAATTTCAATTTTTTTAATTTTTTCATACAAATTACACTACGGGCACTGAGTGCCCCCAAGGACGGGATTAAGGTGGATTGCAGAAGGACGGTCTTAGGGTTAAAGAAAAAAATAACAATTCCGTACTTTTCATTTGTTTATAATTGATTCGATCCGAGATTTCAGCTGGCGCTTCATTTCTCAAAAATTAAATGTATACATTGTAGAACGCTTTTGTGTTTATTAATGTGTCCGATCATGATCATAGCTTTGGAAACTATAGCTATAAATCAAAACTGAAGACAATATCCAAGTGTTTTATGCAGCATAAGAATCCGCGTGATACGATGTATTTTTGATGTCAATTGAACAGCTGCATTTTTTATATTCGTAAAATAAACCATACCAATAAAATTCTCGATATATGTATATTGTGAACGGAAATACATTTAATTTCGTGTCATCATTATGTTTCGAAAAATTCAAGCTGATAATTGAAAAACTGCAGAGAAATAAATTGACGCTGTCAATCATCCAAGTGCTAATTGAAAGAGTAAATAGTTCGCATGCAGCAATTAATAAATCAACCAGATATTTTATCCCGAAATGATTTCGAGCAAAAATTCCATTGAAAAAAAAGAAGTGTGTATAAATTGGTTCTGTAGATTTGCGATGCATATTAATCGATCTAAAACGGCAACCTGTCTCTGAAAATATATGAAATTGAATTGAGCCAAGCTATGTTATGTGTGAGAGAAGTGATTGCACTTTTCGTGTGACTCGTTTTTTTCGTTTCCCATCTATCTTTGGATGCATGTATGCTCCGTCACAGTCAAGGAATGTGCGCGATAGAGAGGAAAAAGCGCGCAGCTTCGGCTTTGCCAGAAATTAATATTTTTCGAGTGATTTGTTTAGTCTTTTTCTCTTTAAATTGACCAAATGAATATACGATAATTACGTCTGATGTTCAAACGGTTGTGACAGCAACGCACATGATCTTCATCATCATCATCAGCAATAGCATCATCAGCTGGTCGATTCATCGTTCGTTTTACGTATATTATATGTTATAACCAGCCAACGGATTCCCTCACACGATTTTCTGTTGTTATTTACTCTCGTTCTCTCCCTTTTTACGTGTATGTTCAAACAGGCGAAAGTAATTAATCAAGTTTAGCGCGATCTTAAGTCACCGAGATGCGAAATGAATGAAAATCCAAAAACAACATTTAGCTCGAAATTCATTATTATTTTAAAAAATGTTGTCACTTTTTCCAATCGGAATTTTTCGAGCGCTTCACAAAATTCTCTACAAATGTTTGAATTCGGAACAAACTTTAAATGGTTAGCTATCAACTCGAACTTGAGACAATGCGTGATGTCCACCTTGATTTTGTGGGGCGTTTAACATTTGACGAATGCCAAATCGATTCACGATATGCATATACCCTGAATCTAACTATAAATGCCGCACTCGATGCATTTATTTTAAGTTCATTTTCAACCTTGATTGAGATGTATTTTTGATGTTTCATAAATCAATCAACGTGTAGAATTCAATGTTTATTTTAAAAAAGCAAAAAAAAAACAATCTGATTCTTTAAAGACAATTGTCGCATATGCATTTAGAGACTTTGTGTGCACATAATTTTCAAATGTGTCTCGATTTTTGCCAAGAAAAAAAAAAGAACGGAAATTCTCTAATATACATTATTATTGAACTTCATCGCATTTTTGTAGCTTGTATCATTTTTGTGCTCGATTTGATCGTCATCAACGTCGTCGGCGATATTTTGATCGAGGCTTCATTACACTTGTCAGAGTGCGAGAATGAAAATCACTTTGTTGAAATGAAACGCTCTCGCAATTCGTCCAATTAGCACAAAATGCATTTTTTTCCAATCATTATACTGACATTATTCGATGCGCTTCATTTACACTCTAATTATCTTCCGTGAAGTTTGTGGGCGGTCACAACAATTTATCATTCTTCGCTACCACTATTTTTGGACGCACATTTGGATGCAATGAATGAACAGAAAGACAAACAGAGAAAAGGAGAGAGACAGAAAGAGAGAGGGAGAGAGACCAAGATAGAAAAATTGGTCACTGTCAGCAGTCAATATTAAATATATCGATTGAAGTGTCCAATAAAGCTGAACAAATTCTTAATAAACTGTCAATTTAGTCGATGATTAAGTAGACAATTCGTTTGTTGTTTCGTCTTCTCTTTTTTTTGTCTATTTAGTCTTTGCTTTGTGATTCAAACAGTGTTTTATGCATAACATGTCATAAATTTACATTGTTTACATGATAGACCACATTGTGTACATGTGCATGAGTATATTAATTGTTGCCGAAGTGGCGATGGTATAGTCACGGCACGGAAACATTTCAAAATAGTATCTGTTTCACTGTTGCATTCACATAGAAATCCTTCAAACCGTTCCCACATTGATTTCACATTTTCAGCATAAATCTTATTCTCAAAATACCTACATTATACCGTCAATTCGGCGGTGCGACAAAAACTCATCGAATTTACCTATTTATAATAATTATACGACTTTGCAGTCCGTTACATTTTTTTGTTGTCTCGCTTTCGAATTAGCGTCGAAAAAAAGAGATCTTTGTCAAAATTCGACATATTAACCTTGGTTAATTATCGCTTAAACGCAATGAGTGTAAATCACTACTAATGGAAATTTCCTCACCCACTGATCCTCGTCCAAATTCCTTGTACTAAAAAAAAACGTTACACCAAAATAAAGTTGTATTAGCCAAAATAGAACTGTTTGGCGTTTAAATATGAGTTATTTATTTCTATTGAAATCGGACGGTGATGATTCGAAACAAGGAAAAGTCATTTTCACGGTCCTGTAAAAATCAAATTAACATAAGGTCACATGTTACACATTTGACATTTCAATACACAATTTCAATTTTTCTCTATTGTTCATCCCGCCCGCTCACGTCTTCCAAATCGTAGTCATCATTGTTGTTGTATTTTTCGAAATGATTCGGTACTTTGATAGAGATTCCTTTTGCCCGTTCACATTTTCATGCATGTGCTCTAATTATTCTGAACGAATGACAGTGTCGGCATGTATTTTAGATGCTTTCAATCATAATTGCCGAATATTTAAACAGAGATGAAAATTATACCAATTGCTATTCATTCGTTTCAGAAGCATTTAACTGCTGACCAATTCAGTGTGCGCCTTTCTCGTTTGTGTATATGTGGAAAATTCAGTATGTTCCATTGTAGAAAACAGCTATAATACTATTGTTGAAGGTGTGTAGCCGACTTACGTATGTGGCAACGCACAAATTGTTTGTTTGAATATGCGTGAAAAGAAAAATATATGGCTATACTTCATTTCGTCTGTCGCTATATTCCACAGCGACATTTTTCCCCAGCTTTGATAGATATTCATAATGATCGAATGGCGTGCGCACTCTTTCTCTCTCGCAGAATGTCAAATTTCGAAAAATACCTTCTGAACACAAGTTTTTTCTGTTGTTGTGAATACACATTCATAAATTGTCATTGATTTCAATTGGCTTGGGTGGTATTTATGCGTCGTGATATGTACAGCACACACACTTTGTCAATGCTTCAATTCAAAGTGGTTGAGATTATAAAAAGAGATGTTTGAATCAATCTTAGGCCAGTCTGAACATAAACGGCCGCCGGTTTAAGTCAAAAACTCTTAGCAATGGTTCGTCATCGTTAATATTTTATTTCTCTTTTTTTATATTAAGTCATCATTTTTTGCTTTTATTGTGATTGGATTTTCTTCATCAGGAAGTGAATGTGTTTGATTTATTGTTAGTTAAATGGTCCATTGGCTTGTTGTTTTCTGATCTGAAATCACAATTATTGGACAACTATGTGATGAATATTGTGTTGTGCCATATTTCTATATATTCCATAAATATGATTAGATATTTTATTACACTTTTTTTTGGAATAATTTGTGTGAATTTGATTTTTGTTTTGTATTTAGACGGAATAATTTTAGTTCATTTTATCTCTTCGTTTTGTGATAAAAAAAAAAACTTAAATTGAATTTCGCAGGATGATGAAGATCAAAAAGTGGCTGTAATGCGTAAAGCATTTCAAATGTTTGACACGCAAAAAAATGGTTTCATCGAAACAATAAAAATCTCAACCATCCTGAATACAATGGGTCAATTGTTCGATGACAATGAACTGCAAGCGCTTATTGATGAAAATGATCCAGATGGTGAGTTGTTGAAATGTACAGCGAAAAGCAGCGATGCTTCGAATATGATCAAACAATTGACTCAAATCCTTCGTGATTTTTCATCAGCTACCGGCAAGGTTAATTTCGATGGATTCACAAATATTGCCGGACATTTTCTCCAAGACGATGCTGAGGATGCCGAAGCCATGCAACAAGAACTAAAGGAAGCATTCAGATTATACGATCGAGAAGGAAATGGATATATTACAACAAGCACGTTAAAAGAGATTTTGGCCGCGTTGGACGATAAACTGAATAATGCCGATTTAGATGGTATTAACACTGAGGGAGTCGCTTGTGTTCTTATTTGTCTTCATTTTTTGCATTCTCTTTCTATAGGTATAATCGCTGAAATTGATACAGACGGATCAGGCACTGTTGATTTTGATGGTGCGTAAACAGTGAAATTCTTTTTTGAATCTGAATTTAGATTGATTTACATTTTGAAGCAGTAGCCTTTTTCACTTTTTTTACGTGACATAATCGATTGAATTTTCGCATTCAATATCGTTTCAGAATTTATGGAAATGATGACCGGTGACTAAAGAAGTTTTTGCACATGTGAATCTTAATTATACCCAATTTTTTTATAAGTACTATAATTTTTATCTGCATTTTCTCGCATCACTTCTTCTTATTTTTCTCTTCATAAATTGAAATTGACATTTTAAATTTTATGTGAAGATAACACCGTGACCTGTAATAATTTCAATTTACAAAGAAGGCAATGCGACATTTCAATTTACAAAAATTTGCGCATTCACCGAAAAAAAAGTATTATTTTTAATGAGCGAAGAAAATTGTTACCTTTTTTGTATCTAAAAAAATGTGTGGAAAATTCGTATACATCAGAAAAGCTCACAGCGGGAGGCTCACACGTTGATGTTTAAAAATTACAAAATAAAATTGATTGCAATTTAAAAAAAGTTCTGTTTTAATTTTTTGCTCATCGTCAGGCACATATGTGATTTTTCAAAACTAAATGTTAGTCGAATCGAGTATGGTAATTTATTTAGACATTTTCTGTATAGAAAAAACGATGATTCAGCCATGATTATTTGACATTAAGCGTCTCAAATCGATTTCTTGGCTGCCATTAAACGACGTAATACGTGTATAAAAAAAATGATGTTTCCATTAGAAAAATGCGTGGCAATAACCCAATTGATTCAACATTTGAATCGAGTGGAATTTATAATTACAAAAATAATTGCATAAATAAATCTTGCGTTTTTTGGCGTTTGATCAGACAATTTTCTGCGAGACACACAAAAATGAACAAATAAAACGAACAAACAAATGAAACCGAGAATATTGATGGTGCCAAATTATTCGTTTCGAGTCTAACAATAATCGACTCTCTATACTGAGTAAGTGAGACACATGCAACACAAAAAAAATGTGTTATATTTAGAACCATACTGAATAATACAATAAAAAAAGAGTGTTTTTTCTTTTGGTTAAAAATTATCATTTATTAAATGTCACTTTTTCTCATTTATTTTATTTTTTTGTTTGTACACAAAAAAATCGTATTATCTGTTTCAATCAACTCTATTATATATAAAGTTCACATTGTCAATGGAATTTAAATCTAACTGCTTATCGGTATCTATTCCATTCAATCTCATATTCAATTGCACTAAGTAGACATTTATATGATATACTACGATCTTTTTGTTTTTTTTTTTGTTATTTAAGTTTAAATTTTACATAAAATGTTAACCGGGGGGGAAAATGACGAAGGTTTTTTGGCGCAATATATATTATATACTTGATCGCCTTTACTTCTGGTTTTTAATTCTGACTAGATCGGTTCACTCTTCATCTCAAATATTTCGCATACCCTTCAAGGAAATGAAAACATTAACCTACGATCAAAAAATGACGAAATGTCTTCATGATAATAATTTTAATAAATACGATTAAAATACACATTATTTCTATGCAATAAATATTCAAGATCTTATTGTTACACGTTGTTTCTTATTTTGTTATATGTAGAAATTATACGGCAGAAAAAAAAAACAAATTAAATACAATAAATGGTAAGTGTCTTTTTCTTTGCAATGATGGTCCTGGATTTTTCTCATTTTTTTCTTTCTTTACACGGAAAAATATGGCACTGATCAAGATTTGAAACTAAATTGATAAAGTTCCTTTCAATTCACATAAATTGAAACGAAATCTTTGTTTGATTTATCAACTATTGGAAATGTTTAAGTTTAAGCAAATTTCACTCTGAGATTTTTTTTACAAAGAAATCGTAAGAATATCGGTGATTATGTGGAATAAATGATAAATGTAAAAAAATCAATAAATATCTAAATAAATAAATAAAAAAGAGAATTTTGTTGAGTAAATAAATCACGATTAAATCACAGAAACCAATAAGAGGTCAATCGAAAAAAAACTAATCAGTTGAAAAATTGATTTTCAATTTAAATTTAAAAAAAAATGCAATTTTTCGTTTGTAAATAAATAATAAATAAATAAATAAGTCTAAAATAAATTAAAATTAATTTTATAGACAAATCAGTCTCATGCAAATATGTAAATTAAAAAAATCGAATAAATATTTATGGTTAGCATTAAAAAAATTGGAGATTCTTTGCGGAACTGTTTGTACTTTTTAAATCGAATGATTGTCCGAACTTAAGTGCCTTTTAAAAACGGCAAAGTGTTCACACAATGTTCTTCGATTCAAATTGAATAATTTTGAATTAAATTGATGCTTAAACTTATGCAATATCTAATCTGGTACACTTGTCAGAAAATCATGTTAACAGGCTTTCAATATCATTTTGTTTTCTTATTACATTCAAGATATAATTCAGGTAATATGATCATTGAATACACCATCTTTTATCCTATTGAGATCATTGTGAGCTGTTTTATGTGTCTTAATTTTTACATTTGCATTCGAAATATATGCAAGTTCCTTTTTTAAATTCAAAATGAAGAACTTATCGTTGATATTATTCTGTGTGTGTAAGAAATGCGAAAGAATCGCATGTTACATCGAAAGAATTTATCTACTTAAGCTAAGATTTCATTCACTATGCAAACCTTTTCTTTAAAATGTTTTTTTTTTTAGAAAAATTACATCAATTGCGCTATTTAGAAAAATTCGTTAATCTTTTTTTTTGTATTTTAATGTGTTGTTACAAAAAAACAAGCGATTGATGAGGAGATTTTCTTGGTTGCCAAAAGATAATTTATAATTTTACAAACAATTAAACTGTTGAGTAATCAATTTTTGCGTATGAACATAATTTTTCAGGTAATATCTTTTATTTGGCCATTTTGGATCTACGGAATTTCGTTGCTTTAATCTTACATAAGTCTTACATTGCCGAAACAGAAGGATACCAAAGACTAGTTGAATCAGTTTTGGACACTTTTTTTTAAGAGGATTGACCAGACAATTGTTTTTTCTACTCATCGGTGTGAAGTGAACGGTTGACAATGTCACTTACATTTACAAAACATTTTTCAGCCTGTCTTTCCAATTTTATCATAACAATGTTAGTTAAAGCAACATTTTCGTTTTTGAAATACACTGACCGAAATCGAGAACGAAATTATGACACGAGTACAAAAACTAATTGCCTGATGTCATTCCAATAGCGTCCAACTGTGTAGAAATGAAAAATCCAAAGCCAAAATCCAACCAAAGTTACACAGAGTATTCGTATAGTAAAATGCAATATTACAATGTATTATGTGTGTGGGTATGTGAAAATGAATATTCCACCTATTAAGATTGCTTAGCCCTTAATTTAGTAGTGAACTGCTTATTAATTCTATACATTCAGCGCATACATAATATCAAATATGATTCTGCTTTTAAAATGAAAACATGTTCTACTCACGAAATCGTTGGAACAGAAAAAAAAAATACTATTTATGATATTTGTGTTTGTTTTGTATATCCGTATAATACAAATCGAATGGTCTCTCGTTCACGCGTTTTGATGAAACAATGACTGGATAAAATTTATTTATTTGTTTACTGTGTGCAAAACAAAATGTCACTGGTGAAATGAATTTGTTTAGTGTTCAATGATCGTTGTGCCGCCTTCATTTTTCACATCGATGCCTTGAATGACTTTGGTAAATGCTGCTGCATCCTTCAAACTCAGCACTTGTACGACTTGTGGTTCGGTTCCTGGTTTTGTGGGTGAAACGGAAAATTGTTAATTTGAGTAGATTTTTTTATTTTTAATCACGGGAGACAGCAGTCTCCCAAGTGACGCAATACCAATGTATATTTTGCGTTACTCTATATCTATTGAATATATCGAGAAGAGAGTATGTTATTCAGGCTGAGTAATGTCTGAATAAAAACATACTCTCCTCTCGATATTTTCAATAGATATATACGTTAAAGAAATGAAAATCGAAACCGCTGACTTTTGGAGAGGGGTTTTTGCACAGTTTAGTAGTGCTTGGGCACCAAATTAAGAATCTGCAAAAAATTTCAAAATGTTCAAAATTTTGCCGCCAGCTGAAAATGCATTTTTTCGATTTTTAACCATTGAAATTATTTTTTCGAAAAGAAATATGGCCATATTCGGAATCTTGGGACCGCGTAGATAATGTTTAAAAAAAGATCATCACGATCGGTTGAAAAGTGACCGAGATATAGCCAAAAAAACCGAAATTGGCCGGGTGGTATGTTTATAGGTCCGCTTTTTACTTTTCCGCACACACCTAGTGTGTAAGCAGAGCTGTCAACGAACACCGACGAACGAACGGTTCGTTCGTAGTTTTTTTTATAGAATTTTTGTTCGTTCGTTCGTTCGTAGAAATTAAAATGTTCGTTCGTTAAGTAAATAATATTTGTTTTGTTCAATTTTTTCCTATAATTTATGCTTTCAATACCAAAATTCACAAAATATAATCTACTTTTAATTTCACTAATAAAATAATTATTTTATTTTCATACTTTTCCTACGAACAACGAACGAACAAATGAACGAACGAACGCAATTCATTTCTACGAACGAACGAACGAACGAACAAAATAAAAATATTTTTTGCCTACGAACGAACGAACGTTGACAGCTCTGTATGTAGGGCCCCTTACTAAGGGGAAAGTATTGCAATGGTTCAAAATTTACCTCAAAAACATGACGAATCCGAGGTTAGTTTTGAGATACAATCAATTTTTGATACAGTTTCCTTGAAAAAATCAGAAAAAAAGCCATTTTTGGCTCAATTCTTTTCAACTTTTGGCTCAAAAACGAATATTTTGTATGAGAGATACCCTTATTTTTTATCAAAATTTCTTCAAACCCTCTGAATGTTATATTTTTGTGAAAAAAATAGCCTGTGCAAAGTTTCACGTCATTAAGGTAGCATACAGGCATGGCCTGATATCTCATACAAAAATCCAAATTTTTTGTGACTTTTGTAAGAAAAGTGCCTCAAAAATAATCTTTATGGCAAAATTAATGTCAGACATATTTTTTTATAGTGTTTTGTAAGAAAATAGAATACTTTCAAACTAGCTTTCAAATGTCATACAAATGAGAAATGTCATACAATACTAAATTTTCTTCCGATTTGCTAGAGTTTTTCGCGGAGAAAATTCTTTCGATTTGCTAGGGATTTTCGCCTCAAAAAGTGACTTCCAAAAAAAAAAAACGAAAATTTGTCTAATTAGCTAGAGAATTTTTTGTTTTTGGAAAATCACCCCCCCTGAAAAATTTTCCTCGCACACTACTGATTTAAAGTATTGCGTCACAGTGAGAACTTCGCACGAAGTGTTTTTATCGATATAATGGAAATTGACGATTTTTACCTGGGGGTCCCTGAATCATCATTTGATGCATTCCTGGTGAAACGGTGATCGTTTCCAATCCATCTCCATTATCAACCTATGGCAAAAAATATTCCATTTTATTTAGAAAAAAAGTTTTCAATTTTACACAAGAATGACATTTGGTGAACACACATTTTTAGCTTTTACTCACTCAAAGCACACGCTAATCATAAAATACAAATAAAATAAAACAAAAGTATAAAACAAAAATACGGTAGAAAAAGAAAACATGAATTTATTTCGATTTTCAAAGAAAAACAAAACAAAATTATATTTTAAGTTAAAAATAAAAGGATGTAAATAAATATAAAAGTGAATGAAAGTAATTGAGGAACATGTTGTTGACTATGCGTAAATAAATAACATTTTAAATTCATTGAATTACAAAATTATTCATTATTTGACTATTGTAAATTTAAATCTATTTTGTAGAATAGAACGACTTTCATTTTGATCATTTTATTTGATTGGACTTCAATATTCTTGACGATTCATAAAAATCAAAACAACGATTCGATTAAGTCTACAATTTATGAATTATTTATTTGAAATGGTCGTGAATTATTTCATTTTTTTAAACAGTGGTTCCCAACTCACATATTTTGAGTGCCAAAAAGTCATAATGGTGTCTCTTTCTAACGGAACATAAATAATGCTCTAAATCTTGTTATGGGATTTTTATTGAATTAAAATGCCATATTATTGTTGTTATTATTATTGATTGTGTGCATTAGTTATAATATACTGAAATTGTTTAGTATAAAAGTGTCGCACTGTGAACTAGTTTCGAAAACCGAGAAGCCGTCTGAGTGGTGCGATGCATGCCATTCTTGATCGGATCGTCGCAAAGCAAACATCACTATAAATTGGAGTGCCTAACATTAATTGCACACGCGATGCGACATATTTGGTTCCGATTTATAAGTCCATAAATAAATCACCTGACCACAAAAATCAAAGTCATTAGCGGGAGATTGTCTTTTCACTCATCAAATGGTGAACGATAAAATTCGTCAAGACTTCCATCGCCGGAGTGAATTCGGCGCAACAGGTGATCATCAAGACCAGACAAATTGAGGAATGAATCGAACGAAACGCATCGCAAAGTCAAAAGAAGTATAAAGGGCCCAAACGTACGGATGCTTTGCAGACGTTTTGTGATTTAGATGCCGCTTCTTCGCAAATCCAATCGCGCTATCTTATACTTGGGTAGGTATATCAACATTTAAATCAAAGAACAAGTGAAATAGAATATATTATAAATAAACTTAAATACCTTTTTTTTCAGAAAAAATGTTAAAGATAACAAACTAGCCCTTTAAAACATGATTCGTAGTTTTGAGAGTTTAATACCAATGCTAAACTAGTCTCGGTAGGTTTTCAATCAAAATGACTAAAATTTGGTTGAAATTCTCCATTTAATTCAATACCATGTTTTTTTTTCTTCCAAAAAAGCGACACAGTGGTTAAGGAGCTAGATGATATTGAAAAACCATTTCCAAACCCAAATTACCAATTCCAAAAGAAAGGAAACTAACGTTCCCGAGAAATTGTTCGTGATGACAACGCATTCATTTCATTTGCAGTGATTGAAATGCATGACTGGTTGGGTGTCCAACAAAACTCAATATGGCCCAAAGCCATCAAAATATTTCGTTCGGAAGGATGCATGACAGTTGATCATTTCGATTGTTCTTAAATCTGGTTTGGTGCAAACAGTATCTTCTGAAGCATTCAAGCAATTGAATAATATTTGGAGAAATAGTTTGTCGGTTCGGTGGGTTTTTTCATTATGTGCAAACAGCATCATCTGTTTAACACACACGCATACAAATGACGCTCTGGCATCATGCGTGCAATGAAGAATGTTGACAATGTTCTTTGTTGGTGAAATCGAAGACAAGGAGAAAAAATTGCAGCTCGAATTGGAAAAATTGAAAAAAGAAAGAGCCAAATTGGAAAAAGACACAGCCAAATCACGCCATGACAAAGAAGTCATAGAACAACATTTTGACGAACAACTACA